AAAGTGTCCAAAAGTGCTATAAACCAATCATTGCAACATTTTTAAAAAAACCCTTTGAATCCCCCCACCTTCCCTACAGTACTCAAAATAGCAAGGGTCCCCCCCGATCCACAAAGGGGGAGACCAAAAGAGTTGAATAACTATAGGCCAATATCCAACTTCACCCTCTCTAAAAAATTTTCAAAAAATTTAATTCTAAACGAATCTACTCCTCCCTTATCCCCCAAAAAACATACTCAACCCGCCAATTTGGTTCAGGCCAAATAAAAATACTAATGATGCTATTATAACATGCTAGAACTATTACACTGCAATAGAGAAAAAGAAGCCCCCACGGGGGGGATTTCATTGTTTTCGAAAAGCTTTTGATACAGTTAACCATGATTGCTCCACGTAAAATTGTCACACATGGGATAAGAGGGCACTCCCTCAAATACCTAAGTCATACTCACAACGAAGCCAATTTGTGTATGCAAATGGGGCAAACTCTTTTGCACAAAACCATTACAGTTGGTGTCCCCAAAGGGGGTGTCCCTTTGGGCCCCCCTTTTCTTTCTCCTTACATAAAAGACCTACCAAATGCTTCGCAATTACTCAAACCCACACTATTTGCAGATGACATACATGCTTCTCCCCCCGAGCCCCAGTCACCTGCCAAAACTGTAAATACCCCAAATTTCAGAAAATATCTACCTGGTGGGACTAACAAACTTACCAAACATTGCAAACCTACTTCATTCAGTTTGGGAAAAGACTCAGATGTCCTCTTTAAAATAATGATAAACGGATCACCTACACAAAACTAACAGAGGGAAAAATTCTTTGGAAACACCTTGATATGACTCAAATTTCTACACTATACAACAAATTTTAAGAAAAATTTTCCCAAAACTGTTGGCATACATCGAAAATACGGGACTATGTCACAGTCAGCCTCCTGGGGCCCCATATACTCTTTTTTCCCCCATCCATCTATGGAATTTTTGCAGGGGCCAAAAACAAATAACCTCTCAGACCCCTAATTACCCAACAAAAGGCTGCAGTTAGAAGAAAAAATTTCACTATAGCAGCACACTCCCCCAAAATTCAATACACTAAACCATCACCTCAAAAAATCCAAATTATTACTGCACCTATTACTACATAGAAAAACTTAACTCTTATTAACCCTCCCCCCAAAAATTCCTTGCCAAACCCCAAAAGAAAACAGACCCTAACACAAGGCACAGATCACTCTTTGATGTTCCTGTGTCCACTCACACTATGCAAAAATCAATGCACAAAAAAGGCCCTAAAAATTGGAATTCATTACCTGTAAATATAAAGAAAAACTACCCGTTTATAAATTCGTTCTTCTCAAAGTCCTTACTAAACCCAAAACCCAAAAAAAAAATGAATAACTGAACCCTTTAAATTTATATTTAAATGTTTTTCACAAAATTTTATCACATAAAAGTTTAAACAAACCCAAACTAACTTTATTATTTTTTAAAAACATACCCAACAGAACCCCTTCTCTGAAAAGTACAACAATGCATAAAACCATATGACCTGTCTTTGTAATATCACTTGTGCTTTATAGTAATCTGTTTACATTAAGTTTTATCATGATTTCATCATTTCTTAGTTTTAAACTTAAGTTAATTTTTAAACAGCCCGTAATGCTAGCATAGTTAAATGCTTTGGATGCTGCTCTTACGTATTTTTTGTACCTCTGTTGTGTGCTAAATTTTAAAAAAAATAAATAAAAAAATAAATAATCAGTGTGGATCCCGAGGCGCTGTCAACCCAAACTTTCTTCAGTACCAGTTGGTTCTAAATTCAGTATCTTTGTGAACGACGGGTGTGAGGGGGGTGGGCTCCATGCTGGGCATTACTCGGATGAATTTAATAATGTGTATGAAGCCCGAAAAATTTTCATTGTTTAGTTGTGTTTAGGGGTTTCCTGAATTCATTTGGTTTGATTTTGTTTCCCGCATTGTTGCCCAAGTTAATCCCAACCAACAATTCTGCGATTTTTTTTACTTTTTAAAATTAAATCGTAGTTCTTCCCCTCCATTCCCTTGGATTAAAAATACTGGCCTACAATAATCGGCGGAGAGAAAAATTTTCCCCATGAAAGCAGGAGCGCAACGAGTACACTGGAGACAACACGTGTCAGGGGCCCCAAAAGTTCAAATACCTCCCCGCATCGTAAGGGGGTTTCCAATAGACCCCCGGGTGTCTTTTAAGAAGGCATGGACAGGGACCTAAAGCCGTATGACCATCCCCCTGTGGTTGTACATCAGCTTGGTGCGGCCATATAAAGCCCAGTTGATCAGACCCTGATCCCCGTGAGGCCTGGTCTCAGACCGAGCCAGGGGCGTTGACCCGAAACCCCCTCAGGTAAAATCCAGGTAAGCATTCCCCCCCCCCTACATTTTTCTATAAAACTTATCTTATCCCCAGGGGCGACCACAATGGAAAGAAGTTTTATTTCCTAATTTTATTGGGGGTTTCTTTTACTGCATGTACATGTAAACCATACCACGGGGGGGTTAGAACCCGGGGTCAGAGTCTTAAAACTCCACACCCTTGCAATGTGTCATTAGTTTCGGAGTCATGTACTGTACATTTTGTGCTCAGAATGGTGCCCTCGAGAACATTGTTTTTATGTTGTTTTTCATAGAAAAAAATAATTTGGGGTTTTGTGCATCTTTTGAATATAAAAATCCCCAAAGTTGAGTGTAAACTCTAGTGATAAGTTTTCTGTTTTTGTTCCCCGCAATGTTTTCAGGGTGTTATCACAGCGTGTTATACGAAATGTTGGGTATTATCTTTGTGAGGGATTGTGTGGGGGTTTATGGGGGTCTCTGGGGGGGGGGGCCCCCCCTTCAAAACCAGTAATAACCAGCCTCGGGGACCCCCAAACCTTCAACCCGCAGTAACCAGCCCCCGGGGCCCCCCACAACCTTCTAACCCCAAAAATAAAACCTCAATAATTCTTTATTTTTAAAAGTACATGTGCAAGGGATACAGCCATAGTTGACATCAAAGAATACTACAAAATAGAAAATCGCTTTTTATGAGGCTTTCTGGCAACTTATTAAAATTTTCTCCCCGGGCGACCCCACCAGTCGGCTAACACCCAGGTACCCTTATTCTGATGGATGACCCCAAAGGACGACCGGTGTAAGGAAATGCCCAGGTTTCCGATTTTCCGGGAATCGAACCCGGACCCTCACCGTGTGAAAACGAAAGCTATTGCCCCCAGGGCCCGGGCCACCGTAACCTTTTGCATTTTTTTTCGGTTTTCCATACTTGTTACCAGGCAGAGGCGTGGAAGAGAGAAAACATAAAGAGCAATGATTATCAATATTAAAGCTTTCAATAGTACAAGTAATGTGTAGACCTTGAACAACAGTTAAACGTGTTTTATCTTTTAATAAAAAAAACCCCCTAAAATATTTCACATACCGGGGGTGTATTTATATTCAAGTTCATCTTTTGGCTGTTAATATAAATTATCTACGGACATGATGGGGTCTGTGGTATTGAAATTACCTCTTACACCCTCCCCCCCCCCGTTTTTCCCCTTTTTCCCTCCTTTGTCTGCTTTTAATTTTCTAGGAGGGTCCCATCCTTCTGAGGGGCCTTGATGCCGCTGGAGGGCTCTTCATCCAAGCAATTGGATTAACCCCCATTAGACCAATATGAAAAACCCCTTTCCCAAAGGGTTTCTGTATGAACCATTGGGTTTTTTTCCCCCCCCAGTGACTATAATATTTTATTAATTAATGAAGTCTTTTGTAAAAACGGCATTATTTTCATTAATTTGGGAAAATGTGCATAATATATATATTATATATATTAATTATATATATATATTAAAATATATATATATTAATTTAATATTAAAATGTGGTGTGTGTGTGTATATGTGGCTTATGCAAATTGCTAAAAATTGTATGAAAAAATTTTTTCTTTAAAAAAATTAGGGCAAATATAATTTTATATAAGAAAAAATGCTTTTGACTTTATTACATTCACGGGGAAATTCTAAAACCCCCGTGGTCTCAGCCCCAGGAAATGGAAAGGGAAACGGTTTTATGCAAGGGAAGGATGGGTGCTCCCCTTCTTTGAATCGAGAGCCCCTTTCCCCCATCGCGTTTTGCAACCTAAAGGGGGGATTTTTTCATGAAAATTTCGTATTAGCAAATATTTAATCTATCTTGCTTACCTTTTAATCCCCCACGTTTAACATTTTCGGATTAGCTTCCCTAGCGATTATTTTGGGCATTTCAAAAAAGTAGATTTTTTTTTTTTTTTTTTTTTGGGGGGGGGGGAACTTTCTTTTTTTTTTATCGAAAAAATATTATTTGTAGAAGTTTTGTGTGAAATTTTTAGTGTGATATTTTGGGGATTGTCGGTGAAATTTTAAAATATTGAAAAAAACTAAAACTTTAATTTTTAAATGTGTATTTTTTATAAAAGGGAAAAATTTCTTTTTGTTGTAAGAAAAAAAAACGGGAAACCATGTTTTTACATTTATGACAAGTTTGCTGGGCGCAGTAAGCCTTAACTACAGTAAACTGTTCTAATAAATATCAGTTTAATAACAGCTTTTTTGAGTGAAGGGGCAGACGTTGCAAACAAACTTGTAGTAGCAAACGGTTACCTTTGGGGTTCTTTTTGAATTTTTCTGCACGGAGGTAACATTTTCCTAAGAAAGCTTGCTCTGTGAGGTCTTTTCACTTGTCGGGGCCCAAATTTTTCTAGGGACTTAGTGCTACCCGTCAGAGAAAAGGGACTGTAGGAGGGTTTTTCCCTAGTTGAGGAAAAGCGATGGCAGGATCTTTGGGTTTTTCCCCCAAAAATTTATATAGAGGTACGAAAATGTTTAAGAAGCGTGTTTTGTTCGACCCCTTGGGTGCCAGTCTGGGCTACGGCGGAGAATGTCCTCCCCCTGCGCTGAAAGACACTCGCAGTTAGCAATCCGAAATACAATGTGTTAAGGTGCCCCTTTTAAAACTGTAGACAATAACTAAAAAGGTTATTTGACAGCTGCCCAGCATGAATCTAAATGGCATCCAGTTTTCATTTCTAATTTGTAGCCTTGTGATTTGTTCTGGCCATTGTATCGTAATTATTTGAAACTAAGGTATTTTGCCATTTCTTAGCCCAGAGTATTGACAATATTGGTTCGAATCGCCACTGTCTGCTGCCTGTAGCTGTTATTGGTAAATAAGGGTGATTTAGAGTAGGCAATTTAGAAAGGCTTAAGCAACAGTAGCAAAATGCTACTTGGAAGTGGCAGATTTCTCTAGCTCCAGTCTTTGCCTTTCAATGTCGAGAAATGCCTGCTGGAAGGCGTGGTTCCTCTCGGAGTCTGTCTGCATCTGCCTGTAGATGTCGTGGAGGAGGCGCAGCTGACACTCTTGCAGGTAGACCCGTCGCTTCTCCAGCTGCAGGAATTCCTGGTCGTCGCGGTCGTCGTCCTGGTCGATGTCATTGCCTTCCGTGCGCGGCCGCTTCGTGCTGGGATGCCTGTAATTATTGTCGTCCTCTGGGCTGCCCACGGTGACTGTAGGGCTGAAGCTGTCGTGGTTGGTGTACACACTGAAGCTGTCGTGGTTTGTGCACACGCTAAAAGACACGAAATTTGTCAATTATGTTCGCGTAGACATTAATTAAAGGTGCACTTTCCAAAACCAGGAGGATAGTTTTCTCAGAATGATTATTTAATTTCTCCATGAGAGCAAGGAGCCTACTAAAAAAAAGATTAAAAAAAAAACCTACATGCAAATACGCAGGAGGCTAAATGAAACATACAATGGGTGGTGGAGAGGGGGAAAAAAAAAGGTACCAAGGATGTTCGAAGGCGAACACTCAGAAGACTACGAATACAGAAGTACAATAGGATAGTGCGAGACATTAATTTAAGACTTTATATGAAAATGACTGGAAGATGTGGCCAGGGGCGGATCTACTATGAAACTAATGAAGCTAAGCTTCAGGGGCCCCAGAAGCGACTTAATCCACATTGCTTCAAAAATTGCTGGTTGTGAAGGAGCCCCAAAATGTAGGTACGCCACTGGATGTGACAAATGAAAAACATGAACATGAATATTCATAACGGATCGCAGGTCAGGTATAGTTCGTAAATATTGCGAGAGCTTTTCCTGCTGGAGGGGAACTGGAGATACACGAATTACATTTTATCTGGTAGATAAAAAACAGATATGACGAAATTATGCTGGAAAGTTGTAGATCTACCGAGGATGAGCAGACGAGTGGCTCTCCTGGACTATATGAAAGATTATTCAGCTGAATAAATTAAAAGATAAAAGTAATTGACAGATGAGATCTTTAGCAAAAAAAAAAATCCTTAAGGATGAGACGAACGTTGATGAGACAGTAACTCTAATCTAAAAAAAATTTAAACCTACCCTCCTTTCCTCTGGCCAAATCTGATAGCCCCTATAATCCCTAATTTTGACCAGATTAGAGGTCAAACCCTGACCTATATCATCAGAAGAAACAGTAAGTGTTCAATTAAGGTGTCTGGGGTAAATGGAAGGCATTAGAAATTACATTAATAACAACTATCATAACGTAAAATATAAATTTTAAAATCACTATTTCTGCAAGAGGAAAGGAAGGATTCTTAAATAACACGACAAACCTTGAAACATTAGCCAAGAAGTTAGTAAGGTAATTACAGTGGGAAGGAAAACTGGTAGTAATTTTAAACAAAGCTGTCTAATTCATGCCACAGACATGGACTTTTCTGATCATAGTAATGGTTTTATCGTACACTGTTTGCGTTCCTTTAAACAAGCTGTCTAATTCATGCCACAGACATGGACCTTTCTGATCATAGTAAATGGTGTATCGTACACTGTTGCGTTACCTTTCTTTTTTTATGGTGTCCACCGCTGGTGTCGCTATGGCTGCTGCTCCCACACCAGGTTCTTCTGTAGCAACACAAGCAGTACATTAGTTAAACATTGCCCTGGTTTAAAAAATAAATGGAGGCCTCACTGCGAAGCCCTCATTATAGTATTTTTTTTCACGATATTGTAAGTCTCCATTCATGAATGAGAATGGTTAGGTATGAGCAAGACCTGCCTAACATGGCCAATAAGCTTATTGTAATGCTGTCATGTTTTTATGATTTTTACAGTGGTTTTGCCGACAAAATTAAAGGGGACGTAACAACTGGGGAAGCCGTAGGTTGGGTTTTAGGTAAGGTTCGTCGGGAAACAGGACAAATGTTTCCTGACGCGGGTCTTAGTCAGATAAATGACCCCCCCTTTGGAGCTTTTGGTCATCTGACCGAGGCCTTCCGCTGGTTTTACCGTCCACCCCTTAAAAATTTATGGTCATTTATAACCTTCTAAAAAAAAAAAGGAAGAAAAAAGTGATATGGGGAACCGTAAAAATTCTACTGTCGTTGACAGTGACCCTTGGCATCAGGTCACATATTTTTGATGTAGCCAACCACATATCAGTTGTAATATGTTGGTGAACCTCCCCCCTTCATTTTTTTAACATTTTTAGAATATACCATGCTTGTAGCCTGAAGAGCAATTGATCACTTGGCACACGACAGTGACATTTTTTTTTTAATATACCCTAACAAAGCCAATATGATGATTTACTTTACCTTTAAAGCACCTAGGCAGAAATACACCATTGTATATACACTGTGGTATGAGGGTTCAGCTCATAACCAAAAGGACCAGGTTAGATTTAATTAGATGGGAAAGAAAAAATGTGTGGTCAAATAACTTAACTTCCCTTTCTGCCCCTGCTCACCTAGCAGTCAAAAGATACCTACCTACCTAAGAGAGGTCCTAAGGTCACCAAGGGTGATAAGCCACACGCTTGGTTTACTTGGGTTATTAACCCGCCCGAGATAATACCTAGGGAGGGTTTCGGGGGTCAACGCCCCCGTGGCCCGATCCGTGACCAGGCCTCGTAGTGGATAAGGGCCTGATCAACCAGGCTGTTATTGCTAGCCGCATGCAACCCGACGTACGACCCACAACCCGGCTATTCAGGTACTGACTTTAGGTGCCTGTCCAGCGCCTTTCCTCTACCCCTGCACTATCCACTGCCCCGCTGCACTCCATTACCTAATGGTAATGCTACCCATTACCCCTGCATCCTTCCCTGTCCGGCGGCGCTATATAACCCTTGTAGGTTTAGCGCTTCTTTGTTATTATAATGTCCAGCGCCTTGCTAGATTTTATTGTTATCTCTTAGTTTAAAATGTTTAAGAATTAAACAAGTACATGCCATATTTATCCTAAAAGTACTATAGGTAACAGGCGCACAAATACTGGCAAACTATATCTTCATATAAAGTAGTATGACATACCTTCGGAAGTTAGTGAATGATCCTGTAGACGCGAGGGGGAGAGAATCCCCCTTGAGGAGGTGCGAGACTTTAAATTGTGGTCCTGTTCATTAAAGTCACTTGACACTGATGAGGGTCTTATAGGCAGAGCATCAGCGTCTACCTCACAGATGAGGCCCTCTACTGCGCCTTCTACTGTTCTCTCGGTGGCATCTATCTCGCCCAAAAGTTCAAGAATTCTTAGATCTGTCTGGCTGTACAACACCTCAGAGTGACAGTCCGTTTTCTTTAACTTATTTCTACGGGAAACTTCTTTCTTTCTGTCGCTAAGATAATAATACCATTTTCGTCTAACTTCATCGGCAGTTCTAGGCTGAACGGTACACACCTCGTTAACTTTCTCGGTGATGGCTTGCCAGATAATCATTTTTTTCTCGTTAGTGATGGTACTGCAGAGTCTGGAGAAGAGCGTCGCCCTGTTCTTGTACACTTCGTCCACCAGGACGTCGATTTCATGAACGGAAAAGCGAGCTTTCCTCTTTTTCACTTCCATTTCACACTTGCACGGTACCATGAACTATACACTCGATGGCACATGAAGCTAAGAGTTATCATGGTACACTCGCAGGTGCCGTGAGCGACGGATAACTGTAAGATCACAAAATTCTCGTTAAGTCTTCTCGCTAAGATCTCGTTACACCACCGTGGGACAGTCTGGCGCCGCTGTGTGTACGCACTCGCACCCAACACTCTCACCTAGTCTATATTCTCACATTTTATACCCTCTTATAACACCACCCAGCGAGATGTATATACCCTGGTAATTAAATGACCTCCATGCCTAATTATGCTGAAGATTATTGGCGTGTGTACAGTTGCTGGCTGTTAAATGAGAAGAAAATAGAAATAAAAACAGATGGTGACGCCATTGGCATATTGTGTTACGGCGCATACGCAGACGATAGCAAAATGTCTCTCGCTAAACCCTTCTTTATTTACGCCTCCAGTTCAGTAACGTAACCAGGAAGGATATTAAACACGTAACTATTTCGAAACTAATTATAATACCGTGTGTAATATTTTGAGAGTCTTCCGGAGGAAAGGTGAGAGGGTAGAATGATGCAGCATCCGGGGAAGTAGAGTAGAGGCACCCCCGCCCCCCC